ATGCTTAATCTTCAAGATGATGACACCATTATTCTTTGATGCATTAAACTAGCCTCGATGATTAACATTGATGAGAGCATTGCCAACAATTCTAGCAAGAGCTTAAATTGAAATCGTGGCAGATCTCGTAGAGTCACAACCAAACTTTGCATACACTATTATCTCATTCGTGCATAATGATATTTTTACGTCAGACACAAGTTTGACATTAATACGGGAACATAAATTTATGTCAAAAATAATAATCAACGTCAATTTACCTCAATTATGTGGAGAACCAATGCCAATTTAGGTCAGAAAAAGCATGGAACAAACTGTAAAGGGTTTCAAAAATTAAAAAAAGGATGAAATTCACGTCGGACCAGACCATAACGAATGTAAATTTACCTAAGGTATTAACACACCCGATGTGAATTTCATCCTTTTTTTAATATTTGTTTTGTCTTACAACCAAAACTTGCAAACATATTTTAATTACAGATAATCTAGATTTTCAATATATAATAATTCAAAAATACAAAAATACAATATAATACAAACTATACAAGCTAAACATTACAAAGCTAAACATTACAAAGCTAAACATTACAAAGATAAACTAATACAAAGACTAAACATTGTACAAAAACTAAGCTATTAAAATGCTAAACTACATAATACAATACAATATAATACAAACAATAATCTACAAATTAAGTACTAAAAATGTTGAATACAAAATCTTGTCCATTTCTCTCTAATGTGTGTAATATCACTAGTACAAAAAAGACTTTTTACGTCAGGTATTTTGGGTTTTTTACGTCGCATTTAAGACTGACGTTAAAACGGGAGACGTAAATTTACGTCTGACCCTTAGCCTGACGTAAATTCATGTCAGTTATCGAGACCCGACGTTAATTTACGTTGAATTTACACTAAACAGACGTAAAAAGTATAAAAAATTAAAAAATTTGGAGCAAATTTACGTCACGTATTGTTATACGTGACGTAAATTTACGTCGCATATTGGTATATGCGACGTAAATGTACGTCGCGTATACCAATATGCGACGTAAATTTGCTCCTTTTTTTAAAAAAATTGGGTTTATTTTGTCTTACAACCAAAACCTGCAAATATATATTATAACCAAACAATCCAGAGGTTCAAGTTTCTTTAGCTATGTAATTAAAAAATATAATATTATATATAATTCAAACTACATAATAAAATAATATAATACAAACAATAACCTACAAACTAAAATCTATTACAAACTAAAAGTTAATACAAACTAAAAGTTAGTACAAACTAAAAGTTAGTACAAACTAAGCTACCTAAACTACATAATACACACAATATAATATAAATAATAACCTAAAAAATTAAGTACTAGAATTGTTAAACGAAAAACATTGTCCATTATTCTCTAATTTGTGTGATATCATATTCTGGCAATGAAGATGGATCTTGAAATACCTGAAACATTAATTTGACTCTTGTAAACATGAAACACACATAAAGTTAAATAAACTTAACTAATGTTGAAAGCAATTACCTCCGTCCAAGAATCATATGGCTCTCATCCAATACATAACATAGTAACCACATTCAAATGAGTTTGTTTGCTTATTACACTGAAATGATGAATAAAATATAATGTTATTTTCAAAATTTAAATACAAACAATAATTATGGTATTCACTTATTATAATAAGTTTCTAACCTTAGGATAAATGAACTGCATAGTCTTTGTTCTGGGTTTTCCACTTAGAACATTAGTTATAGACATGATTCTAAATGAAAAAAAACTATATATTATTCAATACCTTTTCCATTTTCACTAGCGAATTTCAAAAATTCATCAACTCCCTTTTCGTACTCTTCACTAATACGACGTGCATTCATCCAACTTCGATTCATATTATGTTATAAAGTTTCGTCACTCCTAGAGATTCAAAATTTATATTTAAAAATAAATTAATATACAAACAACAAAGCACGTATATGGAGTGTGTAAACCGAAAATGCTCTCAAACAAAATAATGACATTCCAATAACAATCCAGTGGAGATATTCATACAATGACGTGATTGAGATCCCCAAAAATAATCACAGATTCAATTTGAACATATATCAGGAGACATAGAATACTAACCTCGAGTAAACACGAAAACGATTTAAAACTCGAATCCAATCGGGGAGAAATGTCAAATTCGTAAAATGAGACACAATGTTGATGTTCTTCACTGCCAAAATGATCGAAAATGGTGTGGAAAGGTAGTTGTTGTCGTCGTTCTCATTGTCGTTCTAAAAAACCCTTGCGGCACGAGATGCGGGAGTGGGTCTGGAAGAGAATAAAATGAACTTTTTACGTTGCACACCCTAGCACGTGACGTAAAAAGCCTCTTTTACGTCACGCACCCCCCATGTGACGTAAAAAGTGATACTTTTTACATCGCGCACCCCCCACGTGACATAAAAAGTATCATTTTTTATGTCGCGCACACCCCACGTGACTTAAAAATCTCTCTTTTACGTTGCATTGTACCAGGTGCGATGTAAAAGAGGTTTTTAACGTCACCTCCTACAATATGCGACGTAAAAGTTTCACCTCTTATTTACAAAATTGCCACCGCGTTTTATTTACGTCGAATATTTTGACATGCGATGACAATTCGGTGACATAAAATGTCATTTTTGCACTAGTGTATCATGTTCTAGTAGTGGAGATGACTCTTGAAATCAATGGCGGATCTTCTTGGGAGCTGAGGGGAGCCCTGACCGCCTCAAAGTTTTGTAACTCCCATGTAATTTATAATTTTGGCCCCCTCAAACTTAATGAACATTTAATATATTTACTTGTATATTTACAATTTTATCCTCTTAGCCCCTCCTCAGTTTTATAACTCTTATATAATTTATAATTTTGTCCCCCTCAAACTTAATGATCATTTAATATATTTAAGTATATATCTACAATTTTATCTTTTCACCCTTTCATCTTCTTTCTTCCTTTTATATTTATTTATTATTTATTAATAATAAATTATTTGGCCCCCAAGATCAATGACCAAGATCTGCCACTGCTTGAAATACCCAAAAAATTAATTTGACTCCTGTTAACATGCAATGCGCATAAAGGTAAATCAGCTTAACAAATGTCCAAGAATCAGTTATACCTGCACAAACTATGACTCTTATCCAATACATGATATAATAGCCATATTAAAATGAGTTTGTTTGCTTATTACATTGAATTAAGAAACAAAACATAATATTATTTTAAAAATTTAAATACAAACAACAATTATGATGTTTATTTGTATAAATAAGTTTCTAAACTTAGAATAAATGAAGTGCAACTTCTTTGTTTTAGGTCTTCCACTTAGAATATTAGTTCCAGACACAATTTTAATTGAAATAAAATCAGATATATTTACACTTTAAAAACATAATTAATGAAAAAGAGAGAGATAAAGTTACCCTTATAACATACTTTTCATTTGTTGACTTGGTTTTCAGTACAATGAACAAAACCACATTACAGTGTAATCCTTGTGCATGATTACAATTAATTGGCAATGAGACCTAGATTATATGACATAAAAATTAGTTATAAAATTAACATGATGAAAAAATACAAATTAAAATACTAACCCTTCAATGTATGGAGCCAAATATATATGTCTTTGTGAGTCACTTATTCATGTTTGCATACATTGTTAGATTCTGACCTTCGTATTTCCAAATTTTTGGATGGATTATGGCTCAATAAATCCATATACTTCAGATTTTTCTTGTTACACACTTAATTTATCAATGTACCTAACACAATGAGTTACAAGTTAAATATAATTATTATAATGTTAGAAACATAAATGAAAATGATTTATATAACCCATAATTGTATGATGGATATGTTTAACATGTAGTTTTCCCCAACAATTTCTAATGCGTCGGACAAGGAAATGTACAGTGGAACAATAGAATTGTCAATTCCAAACACTCTGGTCTCCTACTATATTTGACACGGTCTCTTCCTCAACTATGGTAATATGGTCAACAACATAGATATGGGATCATCCTCATATTCTGTGATGTCCTCATCAATAACAGGTTGTCTCTTACGCTTACCTCTATTGTATTTTTCACTGATGTATTCAAATTACTCGACAAGTGTACCAAGTTTCGATGTAATAAAGAGTTATCATTCACAAAGATTTGTGACTTAGTAATATTGCAAAATGAGATATGATTATCATCATGGATCGAAAGTGTGATTTGAGACAAACAACTAAAAATAAGCGCAATATTTAGTATAACGAGAAGTGAATATAAATAAAACAGATCGGATTACATGAACTTGCTTCCAACCCTATTTCCCAGCCATATAATTTCAGTTTTTACAGTTTCACTCTCAGTATGTAACTTAGCCCGATTCCTCGAAACCAAGTCCTAGGGTGTTAACCTTGAACGTGATTTCTCAACGGTTCGACACCAACACTCTGCCTTACGAACAAGTCTTGAGATTAATGTGATTAACAAACACACTTCTATTCCTAGAGAGGTTTCTTGTTAAGTATTTAATCCAGTTCCGGTTAATGAAAACATTTTCCAACGGAATCAAAAACCTTGAATCTTAAATCGGTTGATCATTTCGAAGAAAGCATTAAGAATAGAACCAAACACAACTGCATCAAATGAAAATCATAAATATTGAGAAATGGTCTGAAAGTAGTTACATGTAATCCAACCCAAAGAGTTTTAGCCCCTCATGGAGGAACCTATTACAAAACAAGAGAAGAAGGAAAATAAATTACAACAAAAACTTGTTGGATTCAAGTGGATCTACGTTACCACGAGCTCCTTTAGGCGTGAATGGTCCCCTCTTTCTTTTTCCCCGTCCGTCTGTATCCCCCCTTTCTTTGTTCTTTTAATTCTTAAATAGATATTAGGTCTAAAGAGAGGGAAATCCGCTAGCGCTCCTGTAATGCATTGGGCGGATCCTTAAAATCATTAGAGACCCTCTTGCTGTCCAATCCACTAGGCACATCTCAGAAGGCGCTGGGCGGATTTTGGCTCTTGGTGGACCTTCTCTCGTTGGCAAATCCGCTGAGCGTGTCTTTTCCAGCGCTGGGCGGATTCTTCTCACCTCAAATCCATTGGGCGTAGGTCATGTTCGCTAGGCGGATTTTCTTCTTCCAATATTTATTTTTCTCTTCCTTCAAATCTTGAATCAAAGAAAAACTTGGGAGAATAGTTACTTGATAATATCTTCTCATGATTTTTATGCTCTTTAAGGTTAAATATACAGCAAAAAGATGCAAATTTTGTCTAATAAAGGTGAGTTTCTCAATGAAATTTATACTCAATTAGCTCCCTAACAAATCCTCCTAACTTAAAATCTTGTTTGTGCTCAAACAAAAGGTGTAAGATTTCAAAATAGACCAACAAGAGATCAAGTAATTAGAACATTAAGATTAAAACAAAGAGATCAAGATTGAGATTAGTGACTCAACAATCAATGGTGACCACATACCAACCAAAGTCAAGTGGAAAAAATCATTTTTAAGCAAGAAATTCACTCCTTATCCACTGTCTTTCAATCCAGAACCAAACCTCTCATTGAACTGTATAACACTCAAATTCTATGTAAGGGTGTATGTAGCTCTCTATTCAAACATTACGTACACTGAATCAATTTTGGCATACATCTTTCATGAGTCACAAGAATAGGCTAAGCTTGGATCACTAAGGTCTTAGGAGGATTGTAATGGGGCCTGACTACAATAATTCATGGTTTTTTCTGGATAAACAAAAGCCAAACTCCTAAAGAGCAACTCAGAATGAATGTTTTTATGATTTTTCTATTCTCTGTTTTCAACCCCAACTATCCTTCTCTCATCCCACTTTCTACCTCAATTGTCCCACATAACCATAAGCTTTTGAAGTACAGCCTTACTTAGTTTATTGGTTCGTCTTCTTTCTTCATTTTTTTTTTTTGCATCATTAGAGAACTAAATTCTCCTTCCATTATTTTCAGAGAACTACCACTTCACAACTTTTCTTTCAAGAATCCCCCCAACTTGTCTCACATTCAGTTCCATTTTGCTCCCTATAGTTTGGTTAGGGTGAGGAAATTATCAATTAGGTTGAAGGGTTAGAACCGGGTATATAAAGCTAGAATATGGTTTTCAACAAAGGGTCTATTTACTTTTATGGGACAGTTAAGTAGTAAAAAGTTGATATAATTATACCTTGAATTGTTAGGAAACCACTTAACTGATGCTAATTCTAATCTATTTTTCCCCCAATATAGGATGAATTCAAGAATACCTTGATACAAGAGTAAGGAGCATAATTGACAGTAGAATTGGAGTAAAACTGGAAGAAGGAAGAAGATTTTCAGCATGGAAGTCGCTCAAGCGGGATGGATTCTCGCTTGAGCGAATGTTAGTTATTCTTCTCTGGAGTTCACTCGCTCAAGCAAGACAAGATTCACTTGAGCGAATATCAGTTTTTGTATTTTGCTAATCTTTGCTTGAGTTACTCTTTTGATTTATGTGTTTAAGAGGACAGGTATCTCCAGAGCAGTTAGAATTTAATCTCGAGATTGAAAAAATAGCTTGGAGGAACTGGGGTAGAAGAATAAGGGAAACTCAAGAACAAGCCACAAGAGAGTCAGCTAATTGTTATTCCACACTTGATTTAGCAGACCCAATTATAGAAGATATGGCAGAAGACGGAGCAAATCTGAATCCAAATCCAACTCCAAATCCAAATATAAATCAAAATTCAAATCCACCTAGAAGAACTCTCAGAAATTATGTTATGCAGTAAGGTCCAAGACACTTTTCTAGCATCGCCATACCAGACGATCAGACATTGCAGATAAATCCAGCTTTCTTAAGCTTAATTGGTGCTCATCAATTCACTAGATTGGATCATGAAGACCCTTACATTCATTTGTCTACTTTTTATGAGTTGATTGGTACTATGGGATTTAGAGTAGCAAATCTTGAATCTGGATATTTGAGATTATTTCCTTTTTCTTTGACAGGTAGGGCAAAGGAGTGGCTGAAGGCACATCCTAATCAGAGTTTGACTAATTGGAGTAGCGTAGAAGAGAAGTTTCTGAACATATTTTTCCCACCATCCCGCTACATCAAAGAAAAATCTGACATCACTTCTTTCAGACAAGGAACAGATGAACATTTTTGTGAAGCATGGGAGAAATTTAAATCACTATTAAGAAGATGCCCCAATCATGGATTTGATGACATTGCTCAGTTGAATATTTTCTATATTGGCTTGCAACATGATGTAAAGATGCTATTAGAGGCTGTAGCAGGAGGATCCATGTTCGATGTAGAGATTGAACATGCCACAAGAATTACTGATGCACTAGCTTTTACAGACCACCAGGCCCAACATGATAGACACTCAGTTCAAAGAAAGCGAGTACTTGAACTTAGCACCTCAGATGCTATCTTAGCCCAGAATAAACTTTTAACCCAACAAATTGAAGCATTGAACCAGAAAATAGAGAAATTACCTCAACAAATGCATACAGTACAATTCATTCCTAATCAACAGATCAGTTGTGACGTGTGTGGAGGTGATCATGCAAATGAACAATGCTCTTATCAAGGCAACATTCAACAAGAAGAAGTTAATTATATAGGTGCTCAAGGTTGTCAAGGCAGACAAGGTAATTTCCCTAATTCCAACAATTATCAGAATAATTTTTCACAAGGATGGAGAAGGAATCAGAATCATAATTTTGGGTGGAACCAAGGTCTTAGCTCATCTATTAGACAACCTACATTTCATTCATATCAGCAACCTCCATATCATCAGCAGCAACAACATTATCCTTCAATGTATGACAGAATGAGTAAATTGGAGGATACTTTAGAAAAATTCATGCAAAGCACTATGGCTAATCAGAAAAATACTGAGGCTTCATTCAGAAATATATAGACCTAGATAGGCCAACTGGCTAAGCAATTATCTGAGCAGCAACAAGGAGGACAATTTTCAGCTAACACACAAACAAACCCCAGGGAGCAATGCAATTCAATAACTACAAGGAGTGGTAAGGTTATAGGAGAAGGGATTGGTGAGAACCTGGCTGTAGAGAAGGAAATCCTACAAGAAAAAGAGGATGAAAAGAAGAAAGATGAGTGTGAAAGAGAAAAAGAGAAAAATAAAAGTGAGAGTATAGGAAAAGAAAAAAATACCGAAAAAGAAGAAAAAAATAAAAAGAGTGAGAAAAAGAGGGAGAAAGATGAGAGTCAAATACCACAATTAAAGGATTTACCATATCCTCGTCATCCTTTAAAGAAAGATAAAGAAAGACAGTTTGCAATATTCATGGATATTTTCAAGCATTTACAGATTAATATTCCATTTATGGAAGCTATGGAGCAGATGCCGACTTATGCAAAATTCATGAAAGAGTTGTTAACTAAGAAAAGGAGATTTACTGCAGAAACAGTGGAGCTAGAAGCAGGATGTAGTGCTATAATTCAGAAATCATTACCTCAAAAATCCAAGGATCCTGGTAGTTTCACTATTCCAGTCACAATTGGGACATTACAAGTAGGTAAGGCATTACTTGATTTGGGTGCTAGTATAAATCTGATGCCTTTGTCTATGCTTAAAAGAATAGGAGACTTGGAAGTAAAGCCTACAAGAATGACATTATAGCTAGCTGACAGATCTCTAAAATTTCCTTATGGTATGGGGGAAGACGTTTTGGTCAGAGTTGATAAATTTATGTTTCCAATTGATTTTGTTGTGATTGATATGGAGGAAGACACTGAAGTTCCTCTTATACTGGGAAGACCTTTCATGAAGACAACAAAATTTATTATTGATGTTGATGATGACAAGTTAAAAGTCAGAGTAGAGGATGAGGAAGTTAATTTTAATGTGTTTGAAGCAATGAAGCATCCTATAGATAATCAACATTGTCTTACAATAGATGTGGTAAATGATATCTTTCAAGTAACAAGGAAGCAACGAGCTAAAGTAAGCCCATTAGAAAAAGCTTTGACAGGTATTAATGATGAATTTGATGAAGAGGAGGAAAAAGAAATTGAGAATTATGTAAAACTTCTTGATTCAATAAAAGAAGTTACTGCAAAAGAACAACAATCAGAGAAATTACAGCAAGAACATGAAACTGAGAGTTAGAAGCTGGAATTAAAGGTATTACCTCCCCACTTAAAATATATTTTTCTTGCAGATAAAGGTAACAAGCCAGTGGTGATTAGCAATACCTTAACAAATTCTGAAGAAGAAAGATTGATCTCAGTTTTGAAAGAAAACGAGAAGGCTAGGGTGGACGTTATCTGATCTCAAAGGAATTAGTCCTTCTTATTGCATGCATAAGATTCATATGGAGAATAATTTCAAGCCTGTTGCACAACCTCAAAGACGTATTAATCCAAATATGAAAGAGGTGGTAAAGAAAGAAGTATTGAAATTACTTGATGCAGGTATGATCTATCCTATATTTGATAGTGCTTGGGTTAGCCCAGTTCAGGTCGTCCCGAAAAAAGGAGGTATGACTATAATTTATAATGATAAAAATGAGTTAATACCTACTAGGACTGTCACAGGTTGGAGAATGTGTATAGATTATAGAAAATTGAATCAGGCAACTAGAAAATATCATATTCATTTACCTTTTATGGATCAAATGTTAGAAAGGTTTGTAGGACAAACTTTGTTATTGTTTTTTGGATGGTTATTCAGGGTATAATCAGATAATAGTAGATCCAGAAGACCAAGAAAAAACTGCTTTTACTTGTCCTTTTGGTGTGTTTGCTTATAGGAAAATGACATTTGGATTGTGCAATGCCCTAACAACTTTTCAAAGATGCATGTTGGCTATCTTCTCAAACTTGGTGGAACAATGCATAGAAGTTTTTATGGATGATTTCTCAGTGTTTGGTGCATCATTTGACCAATTTAAACACTGTACTAAAGCAGTGTGTTGATACCAATTTAGTTTTAAATTGGGAAAAATGCCATTTTATGGTAACTGAAGGCGTGGTGTTAGGCCATAAGATTTCTGCAAGAGGGATTGAAGTTGACAAAGCAAAAATAGAGATTATTGAGAAGCTTCCACCACCAAGAAATGTGAAGGGCATACAAAGTTTTTTAGGACATGTTG